ATCGACATTGACCTGCAGTTATACCAATTTTCGCGATATTTGGTCAGTTTGAAAATTTTCCATGGCATATCGACATTGACTCGCATTTGGATCCATTTTAACGAAATATTGGCAAATCTCTGCTACTTTACCATAATATTCATGGGATATTTGGAAACATCGATTTTGGCGATATTGGCTAAGTGCTGCGACTTTCCTGTGTCTTCTGTGGGAAATTGTCATTGACTGCACTTGGATCCATTTAGGCGAAATTAGCCAGTTTCCACGACTTTCTTACGATTCTCACGGGAAGTTGCCATTGATTCGCACCTTAACCCATTTTGGCGATTTCAGCCAATCTCTTCGACTTTCCAATGATTTTCATGGGATCTTAGCATTGACCCTCAATTGGACCCATTTTTGTGATTTTGGTCAATCCCTGCGACTTTCTTATGATTTTCATGAGATGTCAACGTTGACCCGCACTTGCACCCATCTTGGCGATATTTGTTAGTTTCTACAACTTGCTTATAACGATTTTGACTCACACCTGGACCCATTTAGGCGAAAGTAGCCAGTTTCCACGACTTTCTTACGATTCTCATGGGAAGTTGACACTGATTCGCACCCTAACCCATTTTGGTGATTTCAGCCAATCTCTTCGACTTTCCAATGATTTTCATGTGATCTTAGCATTGACCCGCAATTGGACCCATTTTTGTGATTTTGGTCAATCCCTGCGACTTTCTTATCATTTTTATGAGATGTCAATATTGACCCGCACTTGGACCCATTTTGGAGATATTTGCCAGTTTCCACAACTTGATTATAACGATTTTGACTCCCACTTGGACCCATTTAGGCGAAAGTAGCCAGTTTCCACGACTTTCTTTCGATTCTCATGGGGGAAGTTGACATTGATTCGCGACTTTCCATTTTCAACTCATTTTGGTGATTTCAGCCAATCTCTTCGACTTTCCAATGATTTTCATGGGATCTTAGCATTGACCCTCAATTGGACCCATTTTTGTGATTTTGGTCAATCCCTGCGACTTTCTTATCATTTTCATGAGATGTCAACATTGACCCGCACTTGCACCCATTTTGGCGATATTTGCCAGTTTCCACAACTTGCTTATAACGATTTTGACTCCCACTTGGACCCATTTTAGCGATATTGTCCAGTTTCTACAAGTTCCTCACGATCTTTGTGGGATATCGACACTGACTTGCAATTGGACCCATTTTGGCCATAAAGGCCAGTTTCCACAACTTTCTTATGGTATTTATGGGACACTTGGACCCATTTTGCCGACATTGGCCAATTCCTCGACTTCCTCGTCGCTCTTATGGGATATTGCTCTTGACCCACACTCACACTCTCACTCATTTTAGCAAAATTGCGAACCTTAGATGTTCTTGACTCATGTAATAATGCACTAAATAATTTTAATAAAGGTCGCCATTGCCATGCGTTAAAATACTTGTCCCGCGAACAAAGACACTTAGGCCAAAATGCTGAAACTTTTTCAATTTAATCAGGCTTCAAACGTCACAACAAAATGACCAGGTAAGGATGCGTCAAGGAGCCAAAGTCGATAAAACAAGATTGAATTAATTCGTGGAGGAGAGCTGTTATTTGTCGTGTAAAGTGACTGACTAGTTGACACTGAGCTTAATTTTTTTTAGCTGATTGGTAACACTTGTTCGTAGATTTACATTCTTGAGTGAAAGAGGAAAAGGAACAGGCAGTTGAAACGACTCACAAGTTACAATCAAGATATTTCTGTGTTTAAATCTGAACTATCTGAATCAGATTCACTGTCACTTCCGTATTCAGCATTGAGAACGGAACGCAGGTCCTCAAAGACTTCACTTTGGCCAAGCTGTTGAACCACGTCAGCTTCATCAGTGTTGTAATCGTCCTCCATCTGAACCTCCTCATCGGCATCATCACAATCCACTTCGGGGAAAATTCCAAGGTCAAACTGAGCTTCACATTCCTCATGGCTACCATCATCATTAGAAAAGAGACCGTGGAGATGACCTGTGAATACGGAAAGCTCATCCATTTTAGTGCGGGCAATGGAGAGTAATGCGCGAGCTCGCTCCGTATCTTTCTGTGCCATCAGTTCCTTTGACCAAGTGTCCAATACCTTCAACTTTCCCTCGAAATGACTGAACATCCGAGCCATTTCTTCTTCTGGTGTTGGCTATTTCCTCTAAGCATCTTTTGCGTGTGTGAAACAAATCAATGAGTTGCCTCTTTAAACAATAGGGAACAGCAGACTGCGGTTGGATGTCATCGTTTAGTACACGCCACAGTGGACTGTCGATGCTTAGCGCGTCTTCAACCGCAATTGTGGAGGGGTATTTACAACCCACCGTGTCAACGTTTTGTCTTGTGTACTCCTTGACCAGCTGTTTAATGGCTCCCGTTGCCTTTGTAATTTGCGTACAAAGCCGTTTTGCAATGGCTTGTCCATCTAAAGAATTAACACGACATGAGTCAAAATGATACCCTAGAAAGCCTAGGTTATAATCATTTCAATACGATGTGTTGGTTAGCTGTAATCGGGCTTTTATCGACGACTGTTAGCACTGGAACATATCAATGCAATACCTGCATATTTCTTCATCAGTTGTAAGAGAAACCACCTTTCTGAGCACTTGACATGCATGGATAATAGCAAGTCTTCTCGACGCTTGTCTTGCAAATCGCGGAGGTATGCAATATACATGCTACTGTCAGGAGACCATCGGGGTTGGCCGCCCTCAAGGTTCTTTAGCTGTTGATCCAACCTATTACCAGCGTAAAGGAAAACAGTGGAGAAACCCAAAATTTGGTTGAAATTATTGGTTTGGATTTGCATTGCTTTGAAGTGCGATTGGCAATCAAAACTTGCCCTGAGAACCCAGTAAAATACCAATAACGACTTCCACGTTTAATGACATGGAATTTTCCATAATTCTGATTGCCCGACTGCCTGATTGTCTGTTTACTTGTATGATAAGCTATTTCTAGATTTTGTGGCTGGTAATGAGTTCTTTGCTTTGTTTTGGCGGACCTCATTTGAAAATCGTTTTAATATCCTTACGTAAAGATCATTTAGTTCCCAGATTAGGGGAATAAATTGCAGGATCCAAAATATGGTTTCATACCTGTCAAGCTGATCGGTCAGTACTTTCCAAGTTTCAGATGCCGGGGAACATTTTTGCAGGTTTGTTCTGTTAATGAACAGTTTGAAAATTCAGAAGACAAGCATCAGAGAAAGTCAGGAGAAATGACAGAAAGTGATGGACCAAAAGTGACACATTTCCTGTAAAATTTGGGGTAAACATTGTATGAAAACCAGATCCCCATGCTACTTCATACCTTACACAGAAAAACTGCCTCAACTTGTCCGGGTAATCATCTGGTGATGAACCTTCAAGTAGGAAACGTAAAATCATAAACGAACTTGTAACTGTTTAAGTAACTTGCGTGTACCTATCTGAACTTCAGTTGTGGTACTCTAATTTCCTCTTAAGCACTTCAAAACATTTATCACTCTGTAATCAAAAGGGGGGCAAAGTACAATGGAAATCATTCATTTGTCATGATTATTATTGGTCGTTAAAGGTGAACCATTCCAAATAAGTTCCCCTCAATGAATAGGCGAAATTTGTACGTACTGGGTCTTCCTGTACTGGCCGCTTTGTTAGCCGTAGATTTCTCCATAATGCTCCACTCTGAGACGTTGGATACGTCCACCTTAATACCTTGGTAATAGTAAAATGGGGCTGTATCATCATCTAGACATACTTATGTATCTAACAAAGTTACATTCATCGAAGTTCTTGGCTAATGAACAGTTCCTCTCCATGATTTGAGGACTTTCCACTAGTTCCAGCGCTGCATTTGCAGACACATCCAAACAATGCATCAACAGAGATAAATAAACTTCCCTTCTCCTACAATCAGATGCCAAAATCTTATTAGAAATGTCATGTTAAAAATATTTCTTATGCCTAAATGAATGAAAAACAATGGAATAACTCATGCTAAGACCAGCTGCCACACTATGAGGACCACTAGGAAAGAGAGAATCATAAAGATTCAAAACAATGTTTCTTGTCTAAATTATATCATTCATTATGCCAACACATATAGTGATAGTCATTTGAGATTTCTAAAGGTAAATATTACCCACTTAGACATTTCATCTGAAGGATGACTTATCACAAACCTTAGGACATGCAGGACATTCATGATCATTCTCATAAGAAGGATTGAAATGCTTCAGGTTACTCAACATGCTAGACATATACTGGAACTCGCAGAAACAATCTCCAACAAGGAGCCGGTAGATGTCCTTAATCTAAAGGAAAACAAATAATTTATTTATTGTATAAATTAAGAAAATAAAAAGGAATTCATAAGCATAAGATAAAAAATTACTGAATGAATACTTACGTAAACCTTTGAAGCAGGTGGGACCAGCCACTGCAGTGCCTGACATATTGACCTTAAAGACACTCTACATTCTAAGAAAATGTATTGGAGCAAGGCCATAAATTCAAGGTCAAAGGCTACCTGGGGCTGTTTTGGAGTAAATGGCCAGAAACCATTCCTGACCAGCGTTATGGCTTCTGGTTCATGCTCGCAACATTTGATTTTGATGGGATTCTGCTGCCCTGTATAAAGACAAACACCATAGAGTGTCCATAGTCGTATTCTTCTATAATAATTGTTTATTAATTCCTGTCTGTGTTGAAAAAAACAATTAAAACACAAACAAAGACCTTCCTGGAAGAGGTAAACTAACTATTTAAATATAAGTATAAGTAAAAAGTAGTACTAGTAATTGCAGACTGGCAACCTATCTCACAATAAAGTTACATATTGCACAGCTGTTAGTTACTTACCATGCAAACCGACAGCTATAATGTCACGCACATATCCATGATCCATGTTGTGAGGTGTGGTCCATACACACTCACCAAACTGATATGGCACAAATCTTCCATCCTAAGAGCATAAAATATCCTACATGAATCAGGTGAATACAAATCACACACCATTTAAATCAGCCAACTCTTTCAAAATTGCCAAAATAAACTTTACTTTGTTCTGAGTATAGAGCAAATTACATGTATGCTTGCAAGAAAAAATTATCCTTACAGCTCTAGCTTTTTCCTCTGTATAAAAATGGGTCAGGTCTCATGGACATAATGCATATTGAAGTTGAGAAAAAACTACATCAAGTGAAGTAATTGAATAGAGGTGATATAGTTGTAAGAAAAAAAAGATGGATGTCTCTGCAATTAAACCACAAGACAACGTACTTACAAATGAAATTGCCTAACGGCCAGAGTACACAAGAAATCGGGTTTCACAACATAATTGAAAAGGTGACTGGAGGAGATTGTCCTCCATAAATCTTCAACTCACTTTCCAAACTTCCGGGTGGTGAAGTGATCTACCGCCTGCGTGAACTAAATTGATGTGATCTGCACATAGGAATTGCCCTGGACTGCAGTGAAGGCATCTGCCGCACGCCTCTTCTTCGCAAAAAGGAATGACACACATCTGCCCCAAAGGCAAAGCCTGTCTGGTCAACAGCGCTGAGACGAGCTGCTCTCTCGCATTGAGCCAAGACAAAGCCAGCGTGGCTTTCCTCTCATGGTAAGCTTTTAACTTGCGCTTCAGTCGCACTTTTTTACTTTTAGATGTTTGGTTGGTTCTCAAACCATGATGTTCGTCAATATGGGGAAGGTCTTCTTGGTGGAGAAAAACCGCCGCACGTGTTTAGAGAAGATCCGGCGACTACAGACGTTGTATCAGTTAATTGCTGGGCGGCATATCGAACTGGAACACTAAACTTCGACTTTCTTATAGCTTTTCCTCCTTTAAAAGTAACTACATTCAAACTTTTTTTCGACCTAAAATCGCGTTTAGGAGGCATAATGGTATCCAAAGCTTTTTCAAAGCCGCGTTTCAAGGGTTCGCAGGCTATGGCACCAGGCCTTGAGTCCTTTCGGGTCTCGATAGGTAAATAGGCCCTACTTTGACCGCTTGTATGCGTTAATTTGATACTAATTAAATCCGCATGTAAGCGGTTAATTATGAGCGAATCGGGTGTTGGATCGAGTTGCTCGGATCACAGGCGGCCCAAGCTCCAGCTGTGAGATGATCATCTTGCGCAATAACAGTCATGGCGGAATTATAAGAGTTTGTATGGGAATATTTACGACCGCTCTAAGGAATAAAAAAATACGTCAAATTCTCAAAAAAAAAATACCTCACCTTACTTCCACAGCGTATTGCTTGTTATATGATCGCTTACTTTGATGATGAAAAGAGCCCATTTGAGCGAGTTGTTCATTTCGAGGTTTTCAACGTACATAAGAAAAGGGCTTTTCTTATGTACGTTGAAAACCTCGAAATGAACAACTCGCTTAAATGGGCTCTGTTCATCAAATTAAGCGATCAGATAACAAGTGATACACTGTGGAAGTAAGGTGAAGTATTTTTATTGAGAATTTGACGTATTTTTTTATTCCTTAGAGCGGTCGTAAATATTCCCATACAAACTCTTATAATTCCGCCATGACTGTTATTGCGCAAGATGATCATCTCACAGCTGGAGCTTGGGCCGCCTGTACTCCGACCGGTTCTCTGTTTCTAGACGATGGATACCTTGGTGATATAAATAATGATGTGAGCTCACTCTATGTAGAAATAATCGACAAGAATCGATCGTACTACAAATGCACGATTTGTGGCCGAAAGTTGTCGAGGAAACAAAGACTCGAAACTCACTTGAGTTGTATTCATGGTAAAGGTGAGAAATAACACAAGCCAATCACAGTTTTGAATGCGACTACAAATCGTCTTTTACCCTCATATTTATAAAAGAAGGATATCACATTAGGAAGTATAAGAGATACATAGATGATCCAGTGTACTAGTACCTAAATCTACAACGCTTGACCGAGTTTTGTCCTTTAAGACGCGAGAGAGCAAGATAGTGAGTCTGAGTCCAGTAAGCTTCTTTGAACACAAACTTTAATTACTTGAGAGGCAGGTTACCTTTAGAGCTAACGAAACAACAACAACGCGATAGCGACTCTCTTATTATAAATGTTTTTGTCGTGTAACCCGAGAACTGACACGTGAGTAGTCCGAAGTGATTACATAACCAGTCCAGAAAGTTACATAACAGTTGAGAGTTACATAAGAAAGAAAAAGCAAACGTTGATGTCCGGAAGGTTTTTTGCATATCATAACATCTTTCCCTTTTTCCTATTTTTCTTTTTTTTTTAACTATAACTCAATGTCAAACTTTTTAGGTGGCTTGATCAATCGTCCATGTCGTGTCCGTATTTCAGTTGTAGTAGCTTCGTGAGGTGGTCTTGCACTCAGCTCTGTTTGAGGTGTTGGGGGTAGTTGAGATCTTGGAGGGGACATGGATGTTCCTACTTGAGAACTTGCTGGAGGGGGTTGGTCCTGTTCCTGCAGATTGTCTGGAACGGTCAGGTCATTTTCGTCCATTTTGAAGGGGGTTTCTTGAAGTGGTTCCATGGTAGAACGCAACTGCTTGCGATTACGCCTGTAGAATCTACCATTGACTTCAACCTTGTAACTGCGAGATGCCACTTTAGAAGAAACAACTGCTTTTGACCACTTTGTTTCTCCAGGCATCTTCATGCGCACTATGTCACCTGATTTGAGTTCTGAGAGTTGTTTAGCATGTTGGTCGAAATGTTTCGCTTGCTTGACACGATCCCTTTTGAGAAGATCACTAACTGTTTGGTCAGTCTTGAGTAAAGACTCTGAGAAGGGTAGAAGTGTCTTAGTTCGGCGACCAAAAAGTCGTTGGCATGGAGACATACCTGTCGCAGCAGTGGGGGTGTTGTGGTGATCCAATAAACCAAGATATGGATCGGATTGAGACAGAAGAGCTTTCTTCATTAAAGTCTTGCAGGTTTTGACTGCGCTTTCGGCCATCCCATTAGCTTGTGGATAGTGTGGTGAGGTGGTGATGTGAGTGAACTTCCACGTTACTGCAAATCTTCGGAACTCTGAGGATGAGTACTGAGGACCGTTGTCAGAAACTACGTAATCGGGTACCCCATGTCGCGAAAAATGCATCTTCAGCTTGTGAACGACTGTCTGGGACGTAGTATCGGCAAGATGATCCAGCTCGATAAAGTTGCTGTAGTAATCAACTAATACGAGGTAGTTTCGGTTCTCGAAGGTAAACAAATCTGTTCCAACTCGTTGCCATGGCCTGTCAGGAACTGGGTGAGGCTGAAGAGGTTCACTGGCTTGTTCAGGTCTCACACTTTGGCATATAGAGCATTTATCAATACGATTCTTGAGTTGTGCAGACATTCCTGGCCAGAAGAAAACCTCTCTGGCCCTTCGAAGGCATGCTTGGAGTCCCTGATGGGACTTGTGTGTTTCCTCTATCATGTCACGGCGAAGGCTCTCTGGGACAACGATCTTCGTTCCTTTGAAAACTAGGCCATTTTGGAGCGTCATTTCATCTCGGTATTTGAAGAAAAGCTGTGCGCTTGTAGGTACCATGGAAGTTTTTGTAGGCCAGCCAGCGCGTATAACTTGTGACAACGCTAGTAAAGATTCATCCTTGGCCGTTTCCACTTGAAACTTGGCAAGTGTCGACTCTGATATCGATAAGTCTTCAACAAAGTTGACAGTTTCTAGATCTTTATAGCAGGATGAGGTGCTAGCATTTGGTACCTTTGACTGCTTAGGTAGAACGCGAGAAAGTGCGTCAGCGATGTACATCTCTTTGCCTGGCTTGTAAGTGAGATTCAGGTCAAATCTTTGAAGACGTAGCATCATACGCTGTAATCTCTTAGAAGCTGTATTGATTGGCTTCTTCTGTATAGCAATCAGTGGCTTGTGATCTGTTTCGACTGTGACGTGCTTGCCATAAATGTAATGCTCGAAGTGCTCACAAGAGAATACAACAGCTAAGAGCTCCTTCTCAATCTGTGCGTAATTTTGCTCTGTCGACGTCAGTGCCCTGTTGGCGTAGTGAACTGGCTGTCCTTCCTGAAGTAGAGTTGCGCCAATGCCATACTGTGAGGCATCGCACTGTATAGTGACATTCTTACTCACGTCAAAGTACTGTAGGACTGGGGCTTTAGTGATGAGCTCTTTTATCTCCTTGAAGGCTTTATCTTGGGGGTGTTGCCAATGCCATTCTATTTCCTTCTTTTCCAACTGTCTTAAGGGCTGTGATGCTATAGACAGATGTTGGCAGAATTTCGCCAGATACTGCACCATTCCCAGAAACGTTCTGAGTTCAGCGAGATTGGTAGGCACTGGATAGTCCACTATAGCTTGTACCTTTGACGGGTCAGGTTTTAGACCTTCCGCTGTAAGGAGGTGTCCTATGAAAGGAACTTGTGACTGTCGAAGTTTCAACTTCTCGCTGTTGAGAGTGAGGTTTCTTTCTCTTGCGCGACTGAGGAAAGCCTTGAGATTCTGATCATGGTTGACAATTGCAGCTTCATTAGAGTCTCCAAAACCGCAAACTAGGAAATCATCGGCGATGACTTCAACACCTGCGAGTCCTTCTACTAGCTCGTGCATTCGTTGTTGCCATACTTCTGGGGCTGAGTTTATTCCGAATGGCATTCTGAGCCATCGATAGCGACCAAAAGGTGTGTTCATGGTTGTCAAGTAACTACTCTTTTCATCAAGTTGTACCTGCCAGAATCCACATTTGGCATCTAACACGCTAAAGACTTTAGCACCACTAAGGCGAGTTGCTACTTCCTCAATAGTTGGAAGTGGATAATGCGAGCGTTTCACTGCGCGGTTGAGATCTCGAGGATCCAGACATACTCGTATTTTCCCGTTAGATTTCTTCACTATGACAAGGCTAGAGACCCATGATGTCGGTTCAACTACCTTGGCGAGGATACCACTCTTCACCATGTTATCCAGCTCTAACTTGAGGGTATCTCGAAGTGGGACTGGCACTTTACGAGGGGGATGTACCACCGGGCGGAAACCTTCGTCCACTTGAATGGAGTAGGTTCCTTCAAGGCAGCCAATTCCAGTGAAGATATCGGTAAATTCATATAGGATAGGATCACTTCTAACATTTGACGAGACGTCAATTCTTTCGTCGTGAATCGCATTTACGTCAGCATCCAAGATTTTGACCAGGTTCATCTTTTCACACGTCGTTCGACAGAGGAGGGGTGTCAAATCTTGCTTCACAATGTGATAAAGAACTCCATATTTTCTTCCTTTCCGTTCAGTAAGTAGGCGGATTTGACCAAGTGGCCAGACTACAGTCTTGTTGTGCATGATGAGCCTTGTAAACGACTGTTCAAGGTTTGTACACTGTTTGTCTCCTGTAGCCCGGATGTAGGCACTTTTGGGGAGAATATTGCATGAAGCACCTGTATCAATCTGAAGCTGTACTTGGGCATTATTGTTAAGGCACGCCGTTACATAAGCTGATGTGGGGGAGGGTTTGTGGCTGTAGATTTCACAATCTTGTACGTGATTGACAGAGCGAGAGTGGCATTTTTTTGCAAAGTGTCCGTCTCTGCCACATTTGGTGCATTTCTTGCCAACTGCTGGACAAGCTGACTTTTTCATCTCGTGAACAGTACCACAAAACTTGCATTCTCGTGTGTATACATTGTCGGGGTTACCAGAACTTTTTTCTCTTGACTTCCACGGAGGAGTCCGCTTCTTACCTGAAGTGTGTTTATGCGGTGTTGTATCCTCAGTCTGGGTCTTAGGCGGTTTCGTTTTCTTGGCTTTTACCCTATTCACATTAGCTTCTTCAGTTGTCATGTCTAAAGCGCGTATATCAGTTAGCTCTTGTGTTCGCAGGATATCCAACGCGTTATCCAAAGTGAGATCTTTCTTCTCTAAAAGTTTCTTGCGTGACCGATCATTCTTGACTCCAAGGATGAGGCGGTCTCTTATCAAGCTGTCTCTTAGGGTTAGGAACCCACAGTGTTCAGAAAGGCGCATCAGTGCTGTGCAATATTGATCGACACTTTCTCCTGGTTCTTGCTCTCTCTTGTTGAAGAGGTACCGTTCATACGTCTGATTTCGCTGCGGCAAACAACGAGATTCAAATTTAGCCAGGACGTCATCAATATTGTCAGCGCTTTCGTCTTCAGCGAAGGTAAAGGTGTCAAACAATTGGACTCCTTCTCTTCCAACGATGTTAAGAAAATGAGCAACACGGACTGGGCCGTCCTTTTGACTTATCCCAGCCGCCCGTTCATAGATTTGCCATGCTCTCTTAAAGTGTAACCAGTTATCGCCTCTACGTGACCTGTCTTCGAGATTAAGAGGATCTGGAGGTTTGGCTAGCGGTACTGTGGTGGTATAGATCGGTGCAGCAGCCGATGAACCAGAAGGTTGCTGACTAGCAGAGGTCGAGGTCATGACCAATATAAAATAAACTTCCACCAACAACAACAAAGCTCGTGAAACGTGACTCACCTCCTGACACCAAGTTTTGTCCTTTATGACGCGAGAGAGCAAGATAGTGAGTCTGAGTCCAGTAAGCTTCTTTGAACACAAACTTTAATTACTTGAGAGGCAGGTTACCTTTAGAGCTAACGAAACAACAACAACGCGATAGCGACTCTCTTATTATAAATGTTTTTGTCGTGTAACCCGAGAACTGACACGTGAGTAGTCCGAAGTGATTACATAACCAGTCCAGAAAGTTACATAACAGTTGAGAGTTACATAAGAAAGAAAAAGCAAACGTTGATGTCCGGAAGGTTTTTTGCATATCATAACAGACCGTAACAAGCGTTCAGCAACACGTTCTAACACCGCCATCTCGATTCCTTCAGTCAGTCGTTTCCACTGAACTTAAAGCGGTGGTGACAACAGAGTAGAGTGCGTCTTACAAAGAAGAAACATTTGTTCAAGAGACGGAAGTAACTATATGCGATTACAGAGGTGCGTTGGAACTCTAGTCCACAAATAGTTATGCACTGTCCGAAGTATAAAACGATTTTGTTGATAGCTGACAGACAGAGAAGAACAACAAGTAAACTTTAGAGCTGTTATTATTGAAGTGTGACTTGCACTTTTCATTTGTATATAAAGAAGGACTTGTATTTTGCACCAAAAATAAAAAGATGTAATATTTTTGGGGAGATCCAGTGATTGAGACATTTAAGAAATTAAGTTATGAAGGGAAACTTGGTTTGTACTTCTCACTACTAACAAGTCTTGTTGACAAATATTTTCAGATCAGAGTTTCAAATAAAGTAAATTGAAGACGTCATTTAAAAGGTGTTTTTTCTCAAAGGGAACATTGACTACCTCTGTCTTGTCTGCATGCCAAATGTTTGCAAAGTGTGTGGATGATCCACAAGTATTGGAACTCTTACAAAAATGTTTTGCAAGAATAAAAACAGCAAAACAAATTACAGCAATTAGTCACGAAAACAGAGCACAAAACTTAAAAAAAAAACCAGCAACAACAATCATGAAAAAAGAAAGATTAATTAGGTGTTGAATTTGTTTGTCTAAGGCATGAAATTTCTACTAAAAATAATGAAGTCTCTGACAGTGTTTGAGGCAACTGAGCTTGACTGTTCCAAGGTTTTCTAACAAAGGCAACCAGTAATGTAGGTTAGGGAAGTAACTTATGTTCATAACTAACAAAGTTCTTTAAGTGTAGATAACAATGTAATTATTGTTAATTATTGTGGAAGTTGTGTACCAAGGAACAGCTAATGAATGTTTGATGATTTTGGCACATCAGTGAACATGAGACATTAATTTGCATCACAATAAAAATATTTTATGATCATGGAATCCAAGAGTCCTTTGAGGTTAGAAAGCAAATCTGTGATATGAGTACATTGGATTAATTGGCAATTTCCATTTAACATAATTGACTGCTGGTTCATGAGAAAATCCATATTAATGTAGAGATTTACTAAAACTTAGTTTGATTAATAAGTTTCATGATCTTTAAGTTATAAACATATACATGTATGTATATCTCTTGGTAAGTTTTGTATAACATACCTTTTATTGAGCCAAAGTTTTAAGCCTCTGAAATTACTCCTTTTCTTAAAACCTTCACATTCAAGGTATTGAGAATTTCTTAGAATTTATGTGGACCTCAGGGTATTTAAATTGCCTCAAATTCAATTCCCAGAAATTCCCAAGAATTCCACCCTTCTTAAATTATAGGTAGTTTGTATAGCTGAGAATTCCTAGGAATTCATAGGAATTCCAAGTCCTCACAAAACTGGAGTCTTCCTTTCCCAGAAATTCCCAGTAATTCCAAGCTTTTTAAATCAGAGTTAATTTGCATAGTTGAGAATTTTTGAGAATTTCTAGGAATTCCCAGAAAACTGGGAATTTGGTTTGCAAGGGTAATTTGTATGATTGGGAATTTTTGAGAATTCCTAGGAATTCCTAGGAATTCCCAGAAAACTGGGAATTCAGTTCACAAGGGTATCTCTAAAAAACTCATAGCAACACTACCTGGGGATAAGAAAACACAAACATTAAAAATCAAAGTGTAAAAACAAATAGTGTTATGTGACAGTGTTCTCCTTTTCAGGTGATACACAGTGAAATTCACTGCCTGTTGTACATGTACCTGTTATTACAGGCTAAAATCAGTTGGAAATTGGAAGTCTAGAAAATTAAACAACAACAGCCAAAATGTTTGCTTGGTCAGTTAAAAAATTTATCTCACCTGTCGTGACGAAAAATAAGCAAGACCACCGTATGATACACTAATTATAATATAAATTTATATCATAATATATAGAAACATATTGTTTAGTATACCCTTTTTTGGCTTTCTTTCATCTCTTTGAGTTCTTACTCAGTTTAAAATAATATGAAAATGTCACATCACTATCATAAATGTGACTGATTTATTGCAAAAAAATTTCATGAATTTCTCACGATTTTGACCACATTATTAACCCTTATTGTTAACATTCAAATTCTTCTCACTGTTCTCTTTACATTTCATCTGGTAATGACAAGGAGAATTTGGTTGACAATCAAGAGCTTCCCAAATTGGAGATCATTTCCATTATTCTTATGACCTTTTCATTTGATTCATGGGTGATACTGTAAGGAGAAATTAGTCATTCTTAGAGGTTAAAGAGTTATTTAAAAAATTGGTGATTCAATCCAAAACATGTAGAACAGTTTATACTCACTATCATATTGTGTTCTTCCAATTGTCTGTATTAGAAAAAGTTGTGTCCATTCACCAACTCCAATCTTCACAAACAAAGTCAGTAGATATCCTGCACTTAAAACCCACAAAAATGGACTGTGAAGCATTGTAATAATGTAGTCCTTCTTGTTCTCTACTGTTTTGTTTTCAGTTCTTGATTTCATAGTAGTTCTTTGGGTAAATTCCTCCAGTCCTATTTCTGATGGAGAATCACAAATAAGGTAGTAAGCTAAAACAGACATTGCAGCAGTACTGACTCCAGGAGTAATGAGTGCTGCTGACCAACCAAAGTTTGAAGTAAGAAATGCTGTTAACATGGGAGAAATGCTTGTTGCTAAGTTACAGCCAGCTGTAAGAAGACTCCACAGAGTACCCAGCATAAATAGACATTCACAGATAAATAAAGAGTTTCAACTGCATATTAGCCAAATAGGTACAGGATGTAAGCAGAATCAGTATTCTACCATAAATGCAGCTGTAATCTGACTAGTTATGCTACTTGCTACAGTATCTATTCTGTGATAAACAAAATAACTGACACAAACATGAGCCCTTCTTGTTTGTATTTTGATTGAACAGTAGATAAACTTAAACAATCAGATTATTTGCTCTCCATTTTTATGCATGATAGAAATCCCTCTCTATGTAATTTTTAATTGGAAAGACAAAATGCTTATCCAGGCTATGATGTGTTCAGGGAGTTAAGGTCTGTAACAATAGATTATGTACCTCACCTTTCTCCTATTCATAAATTTTGAGTATAGTTTAAGGGAAGAAAATCAGCGAGCTTGAAGCTTGAATTTCTCAAATGTGTAACATATTTCAATGTAACTAACTTATTTTTAATATATTTACCGCATATTTTAGGCGAATACAGACGAAACATAGAGCTGAGGAAGAAGGATTTTGAAGGATTTTGGTTATGTCACGATAAAATCTACCTAACCCCCCCAAGGCTCTGTAGTATTCTAATGACCCCCCTCATTTTGCAACCAGTTTTGTACAATCTTCCCTTTATACTCTGTTATCGACGACTGATCCCCCCTCCGTTTCTCCCCCTCCCAAAATTTTATCAGGGATTTCCCCCGACCTCTACCCCTGACCTCCCCCCCTTATTACAACAATGCATAAAATTGACGTCAAGATTTTCGCTCTAGTCCTGATTTCAATTTTAAGCGTTCGACTTCATTTTTGAAACTCCAACAATCAGTCAATTTGTATTTATTTTTAGTTACGTGCATACCTGATTTCAATAAGGCAAACCATACAGTAAAATTAAAACATCTTTTCACAATATACATTTGCGGGCAAAATGGAGTGAGCTTAATTGAAGAAATGTAGAATGGTTTCCGTGTTTACATAGCCTGATGTAAACACGCGGGAGGTTGGGAGAACACGAGATAAGCGTAGGAAACCACGACGCGAAGCGGAGTGGTTTCCAGCTTATCGAGTGTTCTCCCAACCTCCCAATTGTTTACATCAGGCTATGTAAACACGGAAACCATTTTACATTTTTTTTATAAAATAACTAATGAAAGAGGAACGAAAACCGTGTTTACATACGCTCATGTAAAATGGTTTTATGGCCAATCAGAGCGCGCGTACTATTTGAATTATTTTATGAAATAGCGTTACGCTTTCGTGACGAAGATTTCCGCTTTCAGTCCCTAAAAGCTAAGTAGGGGAGCCCCCTAAAATATTGGGAAATTTCCCTTTTGATGTTTTTTTAAAAGGTTAAAACGCCCCCTCTGTTTGGGCTAGTTTATTTCGATAGCTGCCGTGGGATATTCCCAAATTCATGCTGCCGATAAAGGCTAGAGAAGAAAACTAGATAGAAGTCGGAAACGCCGAGGTGAGATTTTAGTTGTGGTATATGAGAATAATCTCGCCCTCCCGATAACTCAGCGACACAAACGTAGGTACAATTACAGATGTCCGCTAATGTACATAAATTTTCTTGTTTAGCAAAATCCTTCTTTGAATGAACTCAAAAGCAGGTGAATTTCGTCAGCTTACAATATCAGCGCGCCTTTAACTTTCTTTAGCATTGTAATTTTACTCAGACAGGAGCTCCTGACTCAGAATATTTTATTTGTCGGCGAAGAGCCTGTCAAAATTCGCAGACGGCGGAGATGTGAAATTGGCTTCGTTAGGTTTACTCAGATCCACAATGCCACATTGAATTTAAACGGGCATAAATCTGGTCGATGAATTTACTGCAAAGAAAACTGAGTTAACATGTCCATGGTTGTACAGACGATAGGTTATCACTTTACAGAGTAAAGTTCTTATTTAAATGTAGCTATATTCCATGTCAGCAGTCGTAACGCTGTAAACCACATCCAAATTTCCTCATCATAAATGGTTAGTTTGATTGTTTGTACATATTCTACGGTTTACTGTGTCTAACGTCAGTCAGCTGAAGATATTTGGAATAACTCACGCGATCTGGAGAAGTTAACTCCAGGTGAAGTTATAAACTCATGATCTATTTGAGCTTTACATGAAAAGACAGCAAATGGTATTGTAGCTGATGATTTCCGCTGTGTCTGTTCTCTACTTTGGCTTTCATTTAAACTTACTAGGACATCCAATTCGGCGGAATATTTTCGTAACAATTATTAGATTACGTGACCTAAGCATTTCCGCTAAAACTAGGGGAACCCCCTCACTTGAGAGGTCAAAACTCTCGTGCGTCTGAGCGAGTTCCAGTTGTATATTTGCATAGTCTTACAAACGGAGCTGTTGCTGTCGGTTTATTATATCAGCTTTTCTCTTTGACTCTTTGTTAAGGCTGGTAAGAAAACTTAAAAAAGAAGGTCGGAAACACGGAGGTAAGATTTTGGTTGTTGTATATGTGATTAAATAATTTTGCCGTCCTGATGGCTCGGCGACACAAACGTAGGTACCTTTAGGCAAGTCTATAGTTGCCGTTAGATATTTCCAGAGTCCTCCAGTAGGTTACTAAAAAAGAACTCGGGAACTCCGCGGTAAGAGTTTGGCTGTAGTAGGACTAGTAAATGTGGTTGAACTCACCCTCCTGAAAACTCAGCGACATACACGTAGTTGCAGTTATAGATGTCCGCCAAGTTAAAATTAATATTACCTCGTTTGACAAAACCCTTTTTTCAATGAAGACCCCTAAAAATAGCGGAATTCTGTCAGCTTGCAATGTTGGGGCGGCCTTTAATTTTTTTTACCAGAGTATGTTTACATAGAATATTAATTATTCGGTGAAGAGTCGGGGACATTGATCGCATTCATAACTGTATCACGGTCAGGATACATTTTGCTTTACAAATGTAGTTACATCTCTTGTCATCAGTCCTAACACATCAAACATCGTGTTCATTGCACCTTTACCTACGTAAATCGTTGGAAAAATCGTCTGCGGATATTTCACGGATTACCGTGGATCTAACACAAAAATAAACAGATCTAAATGCTAATTGTCAGTTCACCAAAACTGACAATTAGATTCTTGATTTTCCTTGCTAATATCGCAGAGATAACTCCAAGCTAGTCCATGGGACAAAACTAAAAACTGCGTCTACATTTTACATTTATGTTCAGAAAAAGATCTGAATGTTCGAGTTTTGTGAAGGAATGGGTGACGTCATGAGTTCCGGTTTCAGTTTCTAATGGAGGGGAACCCCTTTTCCCCACTTTCGGGGAAATTTCCCTGTTACGCTTGAGATGTTTAAAAAACTTCCGGCGCGTTTGAGAAGGTCCACTATAGTAGTGATTGAAACTGGGTCTTTTTAAGGGAAGTTCCATCGTGGACAAATCATATTCCCTTCTGTTAGGCTGTTATAGGAACAGTTTTGATCACTACATGGTTCAATAAAAGGCGAGAATCTGGTTGTAGTTTCGTAAACTTTGCCCCGTTTACTAGGGATAGAATCCTAACGAACTAGAATCAATCCATAGACTCGATTAAGCTCAACTGTTTAATTCCACTCTCCTATTCACTCAGTTACAACGGGTGTGTAAAGAGCTACTCTGAATAACTTGTAACGAAATCACTCTCTTTACTACATTCTCTACATTGTGATTGGTTGTTGCTAAGTACTGATATAAAAGGTTATTCAAGGTTGCGTCGATTATGCAAACCTTTCAATGTGCCAAAATCACAAAAGGCGGTGCTTCTAGCTCTTGATAACAAATGACAGTCTCTTTAACTTAAAAATTGTCTCTCTTGATATAATGTTTACACTTATTATCTGATATGTGTCACGCACGAAACACAAGGTCTCCGACAGTAGCAGAGGTGTTTATTACATTCGAACTCAGATGATCTTTAAACGTTGTTAAAATACAGCTGTCTACGCATTTACCTTTAAGTGATTCCAGTAACATGTGTTAAGTTGGCACAAGGTTTTGTCAGCTGTTTTTTGCATTATGTATTCTTTTGCACTATAATTATATCCGGGCTATGGGAGATGGTGTCAAATTAAGTGAATTGGCTGTTGACTTACATTAAGCCTTGAATAAAGGGGTAAGTTCTATTAAGGCTTTGTCAGAAAGCGAATCTTGTGATCTTTTCCCTTTTCCGGTTGAAAGGTTATCTGCCTTTCCCAGTTCAGAGCTTAAATCTGTAACCGAAGTTACCTTTACAGACTCTCGGTACCAATAGGTGCACACGCACGCATAGCGTAGCCGTTATCCAGGGGAACCGTAAAAACTCTTCCCTGGGTTATAAACAGGCACTTTCCTCAAACTGTTCTCATTTCGAACACTGTGACTGATATCGTCAGCTCTTTAAACTGTTGCTGACCCCTTTACAATGTTTTGCTGTCTCAAAAATATTGAATCTTGTGCTCTTACAATCATATTTGTCAACCTTTGGTCTGATTGTGGCTGATTGATTTTGCTGTTAAGGGCTGAAATAGCGTGTTTTTTCCTTTAGGTTGACAGGTCATGTGACTTATCTAACGCTTGTGCGCCAAGGTCGCTCTGTTTACTCTGAATAACACAGGTTGGTTGTGGCTCAAAATCAATGTTACCAATCGTGCTATAATAGCTCTAATTCTCCGAATGAACCCCTCGATTTCCTACTATCTGGGAATTTCATTTTCCGTCAAAGCCTTGAACTTTTTTTCAAGAAACAATTGTGGAATACTCAACTGTCTTGATTGTTTTCGCCCATTTATATCATTATCAGAAAAGTTATTACGAAAAATCAACTAATGACGGGTGAACGAAGAAATGGTTATGTTGAATTTTGGGCTAAAAGGGCTAATACTTAAATTAGTTAGGAATTATACATGGCTAAGGCTTGGTTGTAGACTGAGGTATGCTCTGCAAATCTAAGCAGGTATAAATGTTGAAAGCCCTTCCTTTTCGATTTCAGTTTAATACAACCAAAGCCGGTGAGATTGATCTCAAAATTGATATCATGAAGTTTTAGAGTATTTGGTTCTTTTGCAGTGATGGCGGAAGGTGGTAAGGTCAGCGTTGATGATGGGAAATCTACAGACGGTAAGAAAAAAACAGCTTAATTACAACTAACTTTCTGTTATGGAAAATGTCACATGATTATCATTTCCAGGGTGATTAGCAAAACACATTATTTTACAGTTTCGCTCAAGCATGATGAAAAATAAAAGTAAAACCACTTGTGAAAGGTCTTGTTTTTTAAGGGTAATGGTTTCACCATGAACGTGATGTTGTGTTTTCCAGCTGCAGAGGAACGTCAAGTCAGATCTGGTGACTTAAAAGTGAATTTAGCTGATGATATTCAGGCAGGTGAGTAAAGTAGTCTTACATGCAGGTCATAGTCACAACATGAATTTATGGTGTGATTCATTTCCATGTTTCAGATGCCAATTCAATTGAAAGGAAACTCAGTGGCCAAAACTCTTATACTAAGAAAAAAATATGGGAGTAAGTTATCAACTGCTTGACCTAACCCAACCTTTAGGATAGCGTATTTCTCAGACTGTATGGAATATTAAATGTGATCTCGTAAGGAACATAAAAATAAAACAAAAAAAACTCAGAAAAATTGTTGTCCTTTTCGTGCCTTCGGGTATCTAACCTTATGAAAAAGGACCACCAGTACGATCTTTTCTTCGCTTTGTCCTCAGAACCTCTCTCCAGGTAAATCAGTTCCTCTTCATCTACTTTTCCGTTGTCCATCTTAAGGTCTCTATCGTTCTTCCTCTCACCCCCGCCTCGATGGAGTCCAGCACCTGACGTTTTTGTTGATTTTGTCGATAAGATCAACATATATCTCTCCGTTAAACTCATTAATCAGTGTTTAATTGTTTAATCACAAGGCATGCCGGTACCGTGGCGTGTATCTTATGTATCATATCTTATGTATGGCAGGAATCTTCTTTACACGGCGTACTTTTTTAAAACCTTATTTCGCCGCTTCTACATCTTAATTTTAGTTTCGATGGGTAACATATATCAAGCACTGGAGATGGAGTTTGACTATTTTTCCAAATACTTCGATTCACGTTGTTTTGAATGAACTTATCAGTGTTTGTCTATGTTTGCTAAATAATCCAACGTATTTGATTCTTTACTTTACTTAAGCTGGTATACAATTTAGGTTTGAAACTGTTCAGTGGCTGAACTATCACGCCACAATGCTTGGAGGCCAACAGAGAGATCAGAAAGATCCTTGTCCCCTATATACTTGTCTGATTATTTTTCTCTCGTTATAGACGTTCCGGCCGTTTTACCGTCAGATGGTACATCGCAATTTGATGATGCAACCTTAAAAGGTAATAATAACAATTAAAATAAACACAACCTATTCAATAAGGTATGGTCATCCAGTCAATTAGGGTTACGCAATCCTTTTAAGAGAGGCACACAAAGGGACCTGTACCGCTTAGTGATCATGGAACAGGAAAAATGCAGACAAATTTTGCAAGTCAACAAAATGAATTTAACGTTTGACAGCCGTTTCAAACTGCTGCTCTCCTGGATATTTTACGCATCTGTATATGTCTGGCTGCTATTTTGTGCATCCCTATTGAGTTATATTCTATATCATGCATGTTTTCTTCTTTCTGTTAGCGATGGCGGAGGTGTACTTGAAAGAAGGTGACAACGAGTACAGCAAAGGAGAAACCAACAATGCAGTACACTTTTACTCGGAGGGACTGCAAGTGAACTGCAAAGATGTCAAACTAAACGCCATACTCTATAGCAACAGAGCAGCGGCTCAGCTCCTTCTGGGTAAGAATTAATCAATCATTCCAGTTTTGTATTCATTTTGATAGAGATTGATTACAATCATCTACAGTTCGAATGGTGTGCGTGAATGAAAACTTTCGCCGTGCTTGCAGCAACCTCAAGGTAATATGGGAAGGTAGCGCTGGCATGACTGGGACAGGCTCAATGCATGGCCCCGTCACCAACATCACTCGTTCTGGCCGATTCTCTATTCGTCCGCTGGCTATTTGAAAGATGGGATAAAACCTGACACTAAAAATTGTGAACCTCAAATTAGCCAATCAGATATATGAAAATCAGACAGACCGAAATTCAGATGCTCTCGCAAGACTTTTTTGCTAATTTGGCAACTTACCCAGCACTCAGAAGACATCAGTAACTGAAACGTTTAAAGTAGACTCTGAAAGTTGAGAATTTGTCCTTCCGTACTCACACCAAATTATTTTGTCAGGAAATTGGGAAGAAGCTTTGGATGACGCTACAGTGTCTGCTCAATTGGCACCAACTTTCATTGAAGCAATAGAAATCGGTAAGTTCTCTGCAATTCCTGAGACATGCAGAAAATGTCTCCGAGGATGACCGAAAGATTGGACTCATCTGACCAGTTGATCATTCAGGAAAAAAGCTTGTGCTGGGGTTCCGCATTGTCTGATCTCCTTAAATCATTTCACAACCTAATTTATTGTCTTAATTTCGACTTTGCATTTGACAGATCTTCTTGCAAAAGCACAATGAAAATTCCAAATTTCTCATTTTGAAAAGTAATCCGCCTACTCTTATAGGGTTTTGGATTAAGTTGTAAGTTTTGATAGTTAATGAAAAAGCTGCTATATCATTACGTATATTATATAAACTGTGATGTTTTACAATGATTACCAGGCCTGAGAAATGTCTTACCAGCACACGTGTAAAATTACGATGAGCCTTATCGCCCACGCACTTTACAACTTTTTTTTCGAGGGTCGAGGATCCTTTTTTCATTTATTAATAAAGCCGACTTTTATTGTCATAAATTAGTATTATTTTTATATAACATACAGAATAATACATGGCTGCTTAAAGAAATGGAACTTCTCTTCGAGTGTTCAACCCGATATCCTCCTCTTCCCCTGTTCTCACTCGTAAGCTATCGTGTTGATCACTCGAAGAGAAATTCCATATCTACGCGCACCCATGTATACCTCTCAATTTCTTAACCAGTCTCCATTTCACACTCGGTCTCGAGTCTGGTAATTTACTTTGACTGTGTACATTGCGAGACATCACTAAAGTTAAGATTTGTAAGATTGAAATAGAAGTACAAGTTGAGGTCCTTTATTATCCGCAATGCGAAAAATGATCTTTCTTGATATCAATTTTTTTCAATTTCTTTAAGGGGCCAGTGCATGTGTACAACAACACTTGTATCAAGAAGCCATTACCTGGTGTCAGAAAGGATTGGCAGTATCCTTTGACCAATGTAGAAAAAGCCAATTCTGCTTTGGAGATTTCTTTCATTTAATTACTCATGTAAAATAGCGAAAAGTAGGCGGTTCCCATATCTTGTTGACTCTGATAAATATACGAATTCAAGAAACCGGGCGACTTGTCATGTATATTAGACGGCCAACAACACCAGAAATCATCTTAAACAGTACTGGGTTCAAACGTTCACCTGAGTGATGCCCTTAACTATATCAGCTCTTACCATAATGCTCAGTAGGTGCCAAACAACTCCAAATTCCTATCAAACCTCATGCCTAAAAACAAAGTTCTGTAATTCCTTTTCTCTCATGTCCTATCACTGGAGTTAAAACCGTCTGCTTGCGCCATTGGCAGTGTCATTGCCAGCTCCAGTCACCGCAAGTGTGCGGAGTCAGGTGCACATTTACATGTAAGCTTATATATTCGTTAACACAACTGATCTAGACCATGAGAATTAAGTGCACAATTTTTGTCTGACCTTCTATTCCACTTTGGGCAAAAATACACCCGTGCTTCTGAATTTTCGGCTTATAAACCCTAGTTTGTTGCTTTAATATGTTGGCGAAGTAGAATAAAGGAACGTTCATATACAGGGAGAGTTTTTTTTAAAATCACCCATTCAGGTAAAGGATTTGTTTAATAGGGCTTACATTGAATACATTTAAATGTATTCAATGTTAGCTCCACACACTTGCAGTGCACCGGCAGTGGAAACACAAATGACGTTCACGATAACGCTGGCTGTGTTTCTTGCGCTGGCAGTACTTCTGCTTCTACCACCCTCACCATTACTGGTAATAGAAGCAGTAGAGGTAGTAATAGCTGTATTTGTATTACTTTCAGCTATTTTGGCCAATTTTCATGACACCGGATTGAATGCTGGCATGAACTGGGTTGAGTTTGAAATTGTAGTGTAAACAGAACTGACCTAAAACTCTTTAGAAGGCAAATTCTTTAACTCGAGCCTTTTAAGATTAACAATAACAATAAGAAGTTACTTGATTTGTGGACCGAGTGTGATAATCAACCAACTGATGGCACAGATGAAACGAGAATTAATCAGGAAATTAACACTAACCGTGACGATACCAAAGAGAAAATCGAGGTAAGAGAAAGTTTACGACTTTAAAATTAATCGAAAACCAAGAGGTAACGCGGAAAGGGACGCTTCCATGGAGGACAGACCAGCTCAATTTTCTGTATATATATATAAGGGCGTAACGAAGAGGCCAACTCTTGGCTGTTCTGGACGAGTTTAATGCACGACGTTTCGGCCGTTCGGCCTTCTTCAGGTCAAAAAATTAAAAACTAAAAAGCTATTTACAATGATTGCGACTTATATACAAAACAGAAATTTTAAGATTGAGGTTACGTAATACAACAAAGGTCTAACTTACTGAGAAGGGTTAAACAAGGAAAGGCAAATAAAGAACTATGGGTGGCATGTGAATACAAATAAGGTGAATACAAATAAGTGACAAAAATTAGAGAGAAAAAAGAATCTAACTTAATTGGTAGTGTTTACTCCGGAGTAGCAAGCTCCCCACTGAAGGCCTCTGAATGAATTCAATCAGGCAAAAACCACAACAGGATCCCAGGAAAGGGCCATTAAACCGCAGCAACAATCTCCCCTCCAAGGTTAATTTTTAACCTGAAGAAGGCCGAACGGCCGAAACGTCGTGCATTAAACTCGTCCAGAACAGTCAAGAGTTGGCCTCTTCGTTACGCCCTTATAGTACACTTAACTACAAATTCACGTCGAGACATTGTATCCTGTGGATCCTCTTACCGGGAGTTCAGCGTTAGGTATACCAGATCTACACTGCTTATATATATATATATAAATGTATATGTATGTATATATACATACATACATACATATATATACATCTATATATATACATATATATATATATATATATATATATATATATATACAAATTGAAGAAGGCAGTTGTTATGTTTGTGATACCTTGAGTATGTTTAAAATCTAAGACGGTTAAGCAGTTGTGTTTCACTAAGCTCTGTTCGAATGATTTTGCACTCTGATATTGTTTATTAACTATTTATCAGTATTGAATTTATTTTGTCAATTTTCTTAGACTCTGACAGTAAGTTTTTGCCTCACTTCAAAGATATTATCATTTAAAGCCTCGAACAACGACCACTGGGTCAAAACAACTTTCATTTCATTAGAGAAGAGGCGTAAGAAGAAATGTCGTCAGTCCATATCCAGCTGGCTTTGTTGCATAAATTGAGTAGCACCATAAGCAAGTCTGGCCCATATATTAGCCATCGAGAAACGTAATTAAGGATAGGTAAGCCAAGGGGATAAAAGGTAGTCAAACAATTTAAATATTTCTAACTTTAAACCTTAGGATATACAAATCAACGATCAGCTACCTCAAGCGGCTGTCCAAAAGATCCTCCACTATGCAAACAATTTGCATTTTTCTATTGAAGTAGGGGACAAAGCTGGAGAAGGGAGGAGTTCCTGCAATCTCGGCAACGCTTATCATGGGCTTGGAGATTTCAAAAGAGCCATCCGATTTCATGAACGTCATCTAAAAATTGCCAAAGAAGTGGGAGACAAGGCTGGAGAGGGAAAGAGTTACTGCAATCTCGGCAATGCTTATCATAGCCTAGGAGATTTCGAAAGAGCCATCCAGTATCATGAACGTCATCTAAAAATTGCCAAAGAAGTGGGAGACAAGGCTGGAGAGGGAAAGAGTTACTGCAATCTCGGCAATGCTTATGATAGCCTAGGAGATTTCGAAAGAGCCATCCAGTATCATGAACGTGATCTAAAAATTGCCAAAGAAGTGGGAGACAAGGCTGGAGAGGGAAAGAGTTACGGCAATCTCGGCAATGCTTATGATAGCCTAGGAGATTTCGAAAGAGCCATCCAGTATCATGAACGTCATCTAAAAATTGCCAAAGAAGTGGGAGACAAGGCTGGAGAGGGAAAGAGTTACTGCAATCTCGGCAATGCTTATCGTAGCCTAGGAGATTTCGAAAGAGCCATCCAGTATCATGAACGTCATCTAAAAATTGCCAAAGAAGTGGGAGACAAGGCTGGAGAGGGAAAGAGTTACTGCAATCTCGGCAATGCTTATCATAGCCTAGGAGATTTCGAAAGAGCCATCCAGTATCATGAACGTCATCTAAAAATTGCCAAAGAAGTGGGAGACAAGGCTGGAGAGGGAAAGAGTTACTGCAATCTCGGCAATGCTTATCATAGCCTAGGAGATTTCGAAAGAGCCATCCAGTATCATGAACGTGATCTAAAAATTGCCAAAGAAGTGGGAGACAAGGCTGGAGAGGGAAAGAGTTACTGCAATCTCGGCAATGCTTATGATAGCCTAGGAGATTTCGAAAGAGCCATCCAGTATCATGAACGTCATCTAAAAATTGCCAAAGAAGTGGGAGACAAGGCTGGAGAGGGAAAGAGTTACTGCAATCTCGGCAATGCTTATGATAGCCTAGGAGATTTCGAAAGAGCCATCCAGTATCATGAACGTCATCTAAAAATTGCCAAAGAAGTGGGAGACAAGGCTGGAGAGGGAAAGAGTTACTGCAATCTCGGCATTGCTTATCGTAACCTAGGAGATTTCGAAAGAGCCATCCAGTATCATGAACGTGATCTAAAAATTGCCAAAGAAGTGGGAGACAAGGCTGGAGAGGGAAAGAGTTACTGCAATCTCGGCAATGCTTATCGTAGCCTAGGAGATTTCGAAAGAGCCATCCAGTATCATGAACGTCATCTAAAAATTGCCAAAGAAGTGGGAGACAAGGCTGGAGAGGGAAAGAGTTACGGCAATCTCGGCAATGCTTATGATAGCCTAGGAGATTTCGAAAGAGCCATCCAGTATCATGAACGTGATCTAAAAATTGCCAAAGAAGTGGGAGACAAGGCTGGAGAGGGAAAGAGTTACTGCAATCTCGGCAATGCTTATCGTAGCCTAGGAGATTTCGAAAGAGCCATCCAGTATCATGAACGTCATCTAAAAATTGCCAAAGAAGTGGGAGACAAGGCTGGAGAGGGAAAGAGTTACTGCAATCTCGGCAATGCTTATTGGAGGTTAGGAGATCTGGAAAGAGCTGTCAACCTGTATCGTTCTTGCGTCGTAGTTTTTGACGTTATCCGAGCCAATTTGCGGTTCAGAGATGATTGGAAGATTAGCTACCGCGACATGCAAAGAAACGCATACACTTGTTTGTGGTGTCTTCATTTAAAACTAGATCAAATTTTGGATGCGCTTTTATCTGCTGAACAAGGACGTGCGCAGGCTCTTAATGATCTGATTTGTGTTAGGTATGGGTCGGGAGGAATACAGCCTGGGCCTCACACTCCAGGGAATTCTGATCTTGAGGTCCTTGCAAGCTGTGCTGTTTCAAATACAGTTTTCATGGCTGTAGATGTTACATCGCGCAAGATATTCTACTGGTTTATTAACAGCTTTCAAGATATTCAATTGAGAAGTACTGAGATAAGTAATTATGGCTCGTTCGAAGATGTCAATACCTTTATTGGAAGCTTAATGAACACAGCATCAAGAGCGTTTAAAAGAGGTGTTATTGAATGTGAAGATCGCTCTCTTGATGAGCCCTGCGCTGAAGAATTAGCGAAGAAAAGGTCAGGTCATGGTTATTTCTCTCCTGAATGCTCACCGAAAGCTGCCTTGAAGATGTTGTATGACGTTATCATTGAGCCGATTGGTGATCTGATCAATGGCGATGAAATTATCTTTGTTCCCGAGAGTTCACTGTGGTCAGTCCCTTTTGCTGCATTGATCGATTCCGAGTCAAATTATTTGTGTGACTCTTTCCGAGTTCGAACGACTCCATCCCTAACTACTTTGAAGTTGATAAACGATTACCCAGACGACTTCCACAATAAGAAAAGTGCTTTACTCGTGGGTGATCCATGTTTAGAGGGGGTTCTTTTCGAGGGGAGGAAGCTCGATCCACTGCCATGTGCGAGAGAAGAAGTTGAGATAATCGGGAGAATCCTTGGCGCTGATCCTCTTATTGGTGAAGAAGCAAGAAAAGATGAAGTGTTGAGGCGACTTCCCTCTGTTGCCTTGGTGCACTTTGCTGCACATGGCCGAATGGAAACAGGCGAAATTGCTTTAGCGCCACGAAGTACTTGCTCATCACTGCCCTTTGTTGAGGAGGATTTTATTCTAACAATGAAAGATGTGCTGGATATTCGGATACGAGCGAGGCTGGTTGTGTTAAGTTGTTGTCACAGTGGTCGTGGAGAGATTAAGGCTGAGGGAGTTGTTGGAATTGCAAGAGCGTTTTTAGGTGCCGGCGCTCGCTCTGTTCTCGTGTCGCTGTGGGCGATTGATGACAAGGCTACTCTCGTGTTTATGAAACATTTCTACGAAGAACTGGTTACTGGCAAGCTTGCAAGTGAAGCTCTTAACCAAGCTATGAAGAGCATGAAAGAGTCTGAAGAGTTCAGCGATGTGAAGTACTGGGCACCCTTTGTACTCATTGGGGATGACGTCACACTGGAATGAATTTGAAGATAGGAGTTTGGGATATTGTCAGATGGAGGTAGGCAAATATTAATTGATGATATATTTTGAATTATGCCCTCATCATATTTGCATGAAGAGAATCAATCACACTATTATAAGTTTCTGCCATTCAAATTTTAGTGCTCTGAAAATGATCAAATTCGCGAGCGGCTAACTGCAACGGCTCTTATGTCTTCAAAGATGATTTGCTTTTAGTTACGCAATCGCAACGTATGATGTGCAATGAGGAGCAAATTGATATCCTGGTTTAAAGGAAGACTTTAACCAAAACTTTTCCAAGGATGTGTAATGATAAACATAATGACGTAATATCAGTCTCGGTTTGTGTACAATGTATATCAAAATGAGCGAAAGGAATATTCGCTCGTCGGTGCTGTTGCCACGTATATCTTGCATTTAAAATGTTAATTATTAAGTTAATCACTCCTTCGATTTCTGATACTTCTACAAATATCGGTGTGTTAAACAGGTTTCTTACTTTAGGAACGTATTCGAACCTATGTTAAAATGAATACCTTTCTGACCCCTTTTATCCTGTTTGTAGAAAAGACGAGATCCTTGCTGATGGTTTTTGGCAACGATTTGAAACCAACTTCTCTGGCGACAGGAACTTCCTCAGTATTTTCAGCGATATGGCTTGGTTTTAAAGGCATAATGTCTCAGTTTTTAAACGTCCTGATCATCTCGGCGTGTAGCGATATTGTCTGTCAGTAAAAAAAAACTAGTTGTTGAATTAGGTCTTAAAGGCGAAACCTCAGTTTTAAACTTTTGTATCAAAAACTCAATTTTAATTTCTTAATACATAGTATGAAAGACACAACAGTGTGTTGCAGAATAGTCGGTGAACTAAGGTAAATTTTACTTTCAATTGAATTTTAAAAAACTTATTCCCGTTTTACTGATCACGATTAAAATAGTGAAAGTATTTAAGAGACTCAAGAAGTAATGGGCACTTCCTCAGTCAAAAAATTTCGGCGAATTTTTCTTTTGTTTCTGGAATGAGTAGAAAGTTAAACTTGGAAGATTTATTCACAAAGAATTTATTTCAAAGGACCATGTACTTTATTTGTCGATTGGGAAGCAGTTTATTTCGCTAGTAGGTCGTGTTGGTGATGTTTTTCTATTTGAATCTTACGAATGTTTCATTTGCATCGTAAAATGTAATTCATTTTTAAGTTGAGATTTCCGTTCTTGGTCAATTGCAGCATCGAGGTAGTTTCTATGCAAATTGAACATTAAAGTTTGCCGTATGTTTTTATATAACTGTGAATCTATGACAATCATATTTGTCTATATACTTCATATTAACTTCATTACTGCGAAGATCGCTTTCATATTTACTATCTTTAATATAGTTTTTAGTTTTCGGTTTTTAGAAAAGAGTTTTGATATCATGTCAAGATCCTTGTGTCTTTTAAATTTGCTTGAGTTGGATTTTTCTTTCATGAAGCCCTCTCTGTAGAGACAGTTTTTGTAGCGAGTTAGGTACAGTGATTGACTCGGAAAGTTATTGTAATCTCTTTGACTTACTTTGTTATCGTGTGAAAATAAAAACTGAGTAACAGAATGTCCTTTGTTATAGATCTGGGCCCAGTTGTTCATAGAGGGGATAACGCTGTTCAACAGATAAATCACTATCCAGCGGATAACCGTTGAGAAAACGTACTGCGCTATCCAGTGGATGGCGATTTATCCAGTGGATAGCGTTATCCTACTTTTGAACAACCGGGCCTGATGATGGAACTCAGCCCGGCAACATCTTGTAACCCCGAACATGGACGGATTCGAAGCTCAAGCATTGTAACACCCTCTGCGAAATTGGAAGGAAGGAGATTCGATTCTCGAGGGGAACTCAAATCTTTTCAATCAATTTGAGTTCCCCTCGTTAAGTTCCTCTTCCCTTTGTGTCACACTCGTTACGATTTTGGAACAGCTTTTTATTTTCTCCTTTTCTGGTTTGAGTCATTGAAGATGTCGTGAATTGTTAAAGGGCGTGTAATACATGTTTACTTTATTCAATGTAAAAAAGTGGCATGGAAAACGAACTTGCAGTTCGTTTTGTCCAATTTGACTTATTTCAGGGAAAAAAAATCGGCATTTTTAAATGAAATTCCACTTCCGGTGAAAACAGTAGCGAGAAGTGGTGACGTAAATAAGCGGTGGCACTAGAATATTGCGCAACACGTATTCCACAGTGTAATTGGTATGGCAGCTCGTGCAAATAGCAATAGTTCTGCGGACGATGTTTTTTTTTAGAAGGGAGTGACTCGAATGCCTTAAGATTAGTATATGGCAGCGATGGGGATAATCCAGAATCTTTAGGGGAGTAGGCCACGTCCTTAACAATATGAGCCGCGTAGGGTTCACCCAAACGATCCGCACGAAGACAGAACGGAACATGTTGACAGCGTTAATGGTCGTCTCGGAAACTCAGACTGGTATTTAATTTACCGTGTTATTTATTTGTATTCGGCATGAAAATCCAATAAAGCAAGGGTACAACCTAAAGGAATGCATAGAAATTTTTTAAGCTGAGCTTCCGAAGGTGTTTTATATAGTCTATCAAAAATACAATAAATATGTGGAAATGGAGAGGGCTTACGCTTCTGGGAAGCTTGTTGAAACGTTTATTATCCCTAAAGTCTTGAGTAAAGCGTCGTTGATTACAGTCACAAATGATTTAATTAAAGAGGTCAACAGTCTGATGTACCATTTTAATTGGAAAGACAATGATAAAATTAACGCACCGCTCTTATCAATGATATCGAGGATGGAGGGCTTAAGATGTTGGATATTCAGTCGATGATCCTCGCACAGAGGGTAATGGTAATTAAAAAGATTTACAAATAAAGATTATAACAACTCTTGGAAAATAACATTGAATTACTTCCTTTCTCAGGTAGGTGGAGAATTTGTTCTTAAGTGTAATTTTGATACCAGACAGTTACCTATCTAACTTCCGACCTTTTATAAGGAGTGCCTGGACGCTTGGTCCATGTTAAGGCAACCTTCGATACTTTCGTATGAAGATGTAGGTCACCAGGTTATATGGAACAATAAAAATATTACTGTCCAAAAGATCTCACTTTTCGAAAAACACTTGCTTTCTAAAGGAATTGTTACGATCGGTGATCTCATTTCTGACACTGGAATCTTCTTAAAGGGTGTGAAGGTATTACATGCAAATTTATCTCCGATACCACATTTTAGGTTAATGAGCGTCGTGGACGCCATTCCTCGTGACTGGAGGCGTATTATTAGACAAAGCGCTCAACATCTCCCTTCTCATACAGATGACGTAATTTATTTGAAGTTAGAAAATTCTGATGTAATGCTAGCAAAAATCACTTCCAAATCACTTTATAACGCGTTTAAAAGCAAAAAGCATATCCCTCCAACTGCGCGAAAAAAGTTCGATGAAAAATTTCCACAGTTTCCGTTTGACTGGAAGAAAATATACTCCTTGCCTTTTACCGTCACAATTGAAACTTAAATTAGAGAATTCCAATGTAAAGTATTAAATAATATAGTATTTACAAACGAAAGATTGTTTAGGTGGGGATTGTCGGATTCGCCTCTATGTACTTTTTGTAAACAAGCGGTTGAATCCTTCGAACATATATTTTTCTACTGCAATATTACAAAGGCCTTCTGGGAAGCTTTCTGTTCTTGGCTTTATATGCCCTGAAAGCGAGGGAAGGTTAACTTGGTGAAAACCAAGTCTTCCTGGCGAATTTTAGGGTATGACTTTGAGCATGCGCTCGATAAAAGGGTTTTGAGGAGGTTCTGTGAGCTTTGACCATAATTAAACATGAAATGTTTGTGTGTCCTTTGAAAAAAATTATCTTAAGCTTGAAAGTTATTCGCGTGACCCAACACCGCTGATATTGCATTTTTTTGCGTGGATATTTTCGTCCTGTTCCGCTCTGTTTCAGGGGGCTGAGGCTGTCTCCTCATAATACAACAAATTGGATATGATAAGCATATTCCTTCTGCACTTTCCTTTTGCTGGTAGTGTAACCTAATTATCCGGGTAGGCTAAGACCTGAACAAAACTGTTGAAGGTGGCAGTAGCTTGAAGCGTCAATAAGAAACAAAAGCCACCATTTATAACATTCATCAAGAGCAACAACAAGGGATTTATGACGCACACACACGTAGTACGTGTTACAGTTGGGGGGCAATTGAGATATCCATCCTCTTAGAACGTAGTGTCACCAAGAAAAAACAGTGGGACAGAGAGGGAGAATCAGGATGTTGGCCGGGATATATCGATTTTATTTCAGTTATTTTTAGAATTATCCCTTTCCTTCTTTTACCGAGTGCCATTCATCGTATAATTTATGTTAAACCAGGAACCTTCCTCCCTCTCCTCCCTCTCCTCCTTATCCTGATTTATTCTTTGATTTCACATAAAAACTCGAGAACTTAAAGCTCGGGCCGTCACAAGCTGATCTTTTCAAAACCTGAGCACAGATCATCATCTTCGTCTGACTCTCATAGTGACTTTGTACGGGTTTTTCCAAAGTTAGTCAATGCCTGCGAGAAAAAAGACTTTCTCAAGAGCACCATCCCAGAGACGATGACACTTTATGGTAGAATTTATATCCCAGGTTCAAATCATTGACTTTGGACTGAATAAGCTTGATTCGAAAAGGATCTCGCTCGAAAGAACAGATGTAGTTGAAATTTTTATTTACCATAACTGTGGGTTCAGGAAACATCAGGTGCTGCGAAAAATGATAATAATAAATAATAGTAATAATAATAAAAAAAGTTTAATTCCACCATCATCGCAGTTAATCTGAATTACAATGTGGTTACAATTGTACAACTATAAGAATTACATATTATTAATCAATAAGGGACTGAGTTACAATAGATTTGACATTAAAATTACAAATACAAGTTAAAATATATAGGTAGGTATACATATATATATATGTATGTATGTATGTATATTTGTAAAATATATAATGTGTAAAGATCAAGGGTTGAAGGACGAGAAAAACCCTTTATCATTAACTGAGTTATTGTAAAAGGATTACAACATAGTCGCCACAGTGGAAAAAGACATTCAATAGTTCTTTACATTCTATAAGTCCTTCCCCAAGCAAATGTGTTAGCAGCCTCGGGTGGCCTTACTGAGACATATTGTCACCTGACGCCCAAAGCCTTGATCCGCAAACTAAATGCCTAGAACAGGTTACTGTATGAATCATTTTGTTATCTCAATCTGACAAAATATCCTCAGGCTTTTTCCTTTCTTCTCCAGTAAAGACAAAAACCACTATGTAATTTCTTACTTCACCTGCAACATGAAACCTGCAAAGCGTGTAATGAATATTACCATTTGTTTTAAGAAAGTTAACTGCATTAACGCATGTTGTTTAAGTAGAAGTAGCCTGCAGGCCGTCATTATAAGTCTTTAGCAAGAACTTTTTCTGCGCACGCAGGAAAGTATGAGGCCTTGGGCGACCTGATCTGGAGGCTAAAGTAGGAGTAGTAAGTAAAGAAGGCTTTAAAAAAAGACTGCGTGACTGATTTTGTGGGAAGACCTTCACAAGGGTGCTTCAAATATCGAGGAGAAGGAAAAGCTACCATTTTATCGCTTGATTCTCAATTGAAAGATAGAGGTTCAAATTCAAAACGTATTAATTTATATTATATTCATCTTGAGAAAGTTTCGTAGAAAGTCACATCGTCGCGGAAGGGGACTAGGCCTTGCTGGACCCAGACCCAACAACATTCTTGGATCGAGTTGCGCGGATCAGTCCTGTTTAAAATGGCGGGTATTGTGAATGTCAGTGATCACGAATGAGGACATTTGATCGGAATTATGTAACGATAAGAGTATTCCACAGTTTTCAGAGGTCTAATGGCTTCCAAATCCTGCGACTGATGACCTTGAAGTTGTAGAAATTGTTGCATATGATCGAAATGATCGCAAAAATGAGAACGTCGAGAACAAGAGATTGAAGTGGACATTGAAGGTGTGAAGGTGAACAAGAAAAACGAACACGTTTAGGAATCAAGCGAGAGAATAACGTGCCAGATGCAGTCGTCGATTAAAATTGTGATGCCGGCGGTCGCCAGAAATGTACAAGTTCTTGGGGTGTTAGCAGTGAATTCCTCAGACGAGTTTCAAATGAAATTCTAGAAAACAACCACTAAAAACATTTCTGCAAAAGATAAAAATACCAGGTCATCGGTTAAATCACCCGAAAAAGGTGATGATGTAAGTTTTGATCAGTCTGAGCAAAATTATAGCAGACATTTTGCGTAACAGGATAGTCATTGGCATGTTGTTGATCTCGCGAAAACGACCCCCTCCCTTCTTGTCAATGTTGCTAGCTGACTATATCCATGTTCACAACTTAGATTCCAAAATCTGAATTCAGGACAAGGAGGGTGGACATTAGTCTGCGCTGTCGATCTTTGATGGCTATAGATTTTGGTAAAAAGCTGGTTTTACCTGAACTCTATGAAAAAGTTTCATCCGGCTGTAAACTATTTTTAAACCATTTTTAAATACAGTAGCTTTTACCTTGGCTGGTCTGTCTTTTT